TCCCTGAGTAACAGATACTATACCATATTTATTTCGGCACTCTCTAAGCACAATGCTTGGCAGGAAATTATTTATAATATGAATATGTAATAAGATTTGTTATATAAATGTTGAATAAGAAGTAGACTTTTACTGCCCTTTAAATGCATGGGAGGCAAACTACACAGTGACCTCCAGGACACTGCCTCCTGTTATTCAGAATATGATATAAGTGAGAGGATGTCACTCCCATAGTTAATGTTACATTATGTAAGACTATCTTTGTGGGCAACAAAAGCAAAAAATAGATAAACAGGACTACATAAAGTTTAAAAATTTCTGCCAATCAGTAGAGTAAAAATGCAACCTCTAAAACAGGAGAAAATATTTGCACACCATATATCTGATATGTAGTTAATACAGAGAATATATAATAAACTCCTACCAAAAATATACAAAATATATAAGGAACTCAATAACACACACAACAAATAATCCAATTCTAAAATGGGTAAAGGGGAGCTGGCAGGTGGCATGGTGTTAAAGGCACTGGATTACCACATGGCCGACCATGGCTCAAGTCCTGGACCTGATGGCTTGCTTTCTCTCTTGCCCTGTCTCTCTGTCTCTGTCTCTCTCTGGTCAATTTAAAAAAAAATAACAAATGGAATTAAATAAATATTCTTTTTAAAAAATGGGTAAAGGACTTGAACAGACATTCTCCAAAGAAAATATACGAATACCCAACAAGCCAAATTTCTCAGAGTTCTAGGCTTCTACACACACAAACACAATCACAATGGGCTTTTTTTAAACATCTGTTTTTCAGAATAGGTTCTTGTCATAAGGATGGGCTTTTTTTAGCCATCTGTTTTTCAGAATAGGTTCTTGTCATAAGAACAAATCAAGGAACCAGTAGTTAGCATAATGGCTATGTCGCTGGACTCCCATGTAGTTGACCATGGTTCGCATCCTGGACCCGGTGACTTAAACTCACGCTGGGCACGTGTGCGTGTGTGCCCAAGATCCTGAGAGGAGAATGGAGGAGAAGGGATTGCAGCGTGGCTATCCCCCCTGGGGGGTGATTGCTTGCTTTCTGTCTCTCTGTCTCTCTCTGTCTGTCTAGCAAGCGCATGCACCCTACAGCAAAAAAACTCTTCAAAAAAAAAATCAAAGCGTAAGAGCATGAAACTTAAACTGGAAAACTAGAACTAATAGAAGAAAGACATACTGCATTTGTTTTGTTTTGTTTTTAGGGCATGTGTGCTTGACAGAGAGGGAGGGAAATTGAGAAATCATCCCCTAGGAAGGATGGTCATGCCACAATTTCTTTTTCCTCCATTCTCCTCTCAGGAATTTGGGCATGCACACACATGTGCCTAGTGTGATTTTCAAGCCATCGTGTCTGGGATTTGAACCATAGTCAGCCATGTGAGAATCCAGTGCCTCCTGCTGGCCCCACAATAGTACATTTTTAAAATCACTATTCTTTTTTAAAAAAGAATTATTTACTTAACTTTATGTATTATTATTTTTTTGAGAGGTTTTCGCTATGGGGCGTGTGCACTCGCCAGACAGACAGAGAGAGACATAGAGACAGAAACCGAGAAATCACCCCCCAGGGGGGATGGCCACACCGCAATCCCTTCTCCTCCATTCTCCTCTCGGGATCTTGGGCATGCATGCACACGTGCCCGGCGTGAGTTTTAAGCCACCAGGTCCGGGACGCGAACTGCGGTCGACTACGTGGGAGTCCAGCGACATAGCCATTACGCTAACTGCTGGTTCCCTGTATTATTATTATTTTGCTTGCTATAGGGCATGTGTGTTCACTAGAGAGAAAGAGAGAGGGAAAGTCAGAAACCAAGTCACCAAGTCCAGGACATGAACTGTGGTCAGTCATATGGGAGTCCAGTGTCTTAATCACCACACCACCTGCTGGCCTGAACAATCACTATTCTAAAGCTAAGCTACACAAATCAAAAATGGTCTTGTTTTGCTTCAAAGAGGCAGCTATCATTAGCACTCAGTCATGGAGGTATAATTTCCTATTATCAATAAATGTATAATGAGCTCTCTGAAGTCCTCTGACATTTTAGATACTTAGTTATGGAGGTCTAATTTACTGTTATTAGTAAATTTTTAGCAAGCTCTCCTAAGTCTTTTGATGTTTTAGACAGAAACAGAGGAGGGAAGAGCCTTGTGGTCATCCACGAGGTCTAGCTCATGGTGTCAGGAAAAACAGTAACAGTTCAGCTGAGCAGATGAGAATCAGTGCTCTTTTTAATGATCTTTAAGAAAAACGTTTCATAAATTCCTACAGTGACTGTGGAATCCCCAGACGGTTGGGAAAGTAACAAACAACCTACTTCTGCTTTCTTTTCTACATACAGGATACCAGGAGCAAAAGGTAGAGAATCACCTTAGGAATGTTAGGAGTGATCATTTGCTAAGAATCAGGCCCCTCATTTTACAGGCTGAGGACACTACAGAACCCTTTTATACTCTCTCTCACTGCAAAAAAAAAAAAAAAAATTCTTGGGCTGGCCCTGTAGCCTTATGGTTAAGAGAGATGGATTTTGGGCCAGCTGGTGGCATGGTGCTTAGGGCGTTGAACTCCCACATGGCCAACCGCAATTTGAGTCCTGGACCTGGTGACTTGCTTTATCATTCTCTCTCTCAACAAATTAAAAAATAATAATAGATAGGATCAGCAGATGGCATAATGGTTGTGTCGCTGGACAACTGCAGATCAAGTCCCAGACCCCACAGCTTGGAACCCACACTGGATATGTGGGCATGCGAGTTCAAAATCCCAAGAGGAGAGGGAGAAGAGAAGAGTATGCAGAAAGACAGCAAGAGAACAAATAGAGAGGCATGACACTAGTGGGACACAGAAATGGTTTATTACCTGTTGATGATGATGTGTACAGTATTCTCAACTGGACTGATCTGAGAAGTATTTCATGTTGGATAAAGTCTTTTTACAAGCAAAATGATAGTGATTGAATGTTTAAAAATGATTGGAATAATAATAATAATCTGAAAAAAATAATAAAAAGCTATTTGATGATGATGATGGGGATTTTAATGTCTTTGTATTGACTGATATACATGGTCCTTCTGGAAAAAGAAATGTAATACACTGTAAAGTTATATGTGATTCAATGTAATATAAACAAGATTGTGATAATAACAAATAAAATTAAATTTTAAAAAAATCCCGAGAGGAGAATGGCCGAGAAGGGATTGTGGCATGGCCAGAACCCATGAACCCATGGGGGGGGGTGATTTCTCGCTTTCTGTATCTCCAAGAAGTGCACGTGTCCTATAGGGGAAAAAAAAAACTCTAAAAATAAATAAAATTAAATAAGTATTAAAATAAAGAGAGAAAGAGCTGGATCTCACATGGCCAACTGTGGTTTGAACCCTAGCCCAGCAGCTTGAAAAACATGATAGGCATGGGGACCAGCAGTTAGCATAATGGCTACGTCGCTGGACTCCCATGTAGTCGACCGCGGTTCGAGTCCTAGACCCGGTGGCTTAAACTCACGCTGGGCGTGTGTGCGTGCATGCCCAAGATCCCAAGAGGACAATGGAGGAGAAGGGATTGCGGCGTGGCCATCCCCCCTTGAGGGTGATTTCTCGCTTTCTGTCTCTCTATCTGTCTCTCTCTGTCTGGCCAGCGCACATGCCCTATAGCAAAAAAAAAAAAAAAAAAAAAAAAAAAAAACTCCAAAAAAAGAAAAAACATGATAGGCACATGTGTGTATACCCAAAATCAGAACAAGATGGAGAAGGGACTACATTGTGGCCATACCCCATGGCAGTTGTTTTCTGTCTCCTCTCTCTGGTGAGTACATATCCCCTCCAGCAATTAAAAGAAAAGGGAGAATGGAGGAGAAGGGATTGCAGCATGGCCATCCCCCCTGAGGGGTGATTTCTCACTTTCTGTCTCTCTGTCTCTCTCTGTCTTTCTGGCGAGCGCATGAGCCCTATAGCAAAAACTTCTCCAAAAAATAAATAAATAAATAAAAAATAATAAAAAGAAAAGGGAAAAGGGAGGCCAGCATCTGGCATAGTGGCAAAGGCGCCAGACCCCAATGGCCAGTCTCAGTTCCAGTTCCGGGTCTGGCGACTTGAAAACCAAACCAGGTACGTGTGTGGGTGTCCAAAATCCCCAGAGGAGAATGGAGGAGAAGGGATAGTGGTGTGGCCATCCCCCTTGAGGGGTGATTTCTCACTTTCCTTCTGTCTCTTTCTCTCTCTCTCTGGCAAGCACATGTGCCTTATGGCAAAAAATCTTACCAAAAAAGGGAAAAAAAGGAAGGAAGGAAGGAAGGTAGGAAATCACCCTTTAATTTATCTCAGAACCCCAGGCAGGGTTCATTTGGTAAAGTGAGTTATAAAAGAAAAGTCATTCCATGGAGGCTTGAATATTTGTTCCAGCAGGCCCAATCCAGAAATAGCTATATTCCAATCCAACAGTTTCCACACATTTTGGTGTCACGACACTTAAAAACTATTGAGAAATCCAAAGAGCTTAACTTAAGAAATACTAATAGAAAACATAAGAACATATGGCACAAAATCTTAGTCATTGGAGCAATGACGTCATCACACATCCTGTAAATGAATATTTACTTCAAAATAAAAAGATAAGAAAATGAAAGAAGCCCAGAGGACAGAGCAAGTGGGGATTACAGTAATGGAAGCAGAAGGATATTCACATATGATCAATATGCTATAAGAAAACCTTCAAACTTCTAAAGTTATAAGCAGTGAAGTAAATCTTTCAAGAGTTTTAAGACCAATTAAAGACATGTTTAGATAAGCAAAAGTGAGAAAGACTGGCAAAAGTAGACCTTTGCTAAGGAAATTATAAAGAATGAAGCTCAGGTAGGTTTCCACCAAGAAAATTAGAGGTTTAAGGAGGAAAAAAAGTAATATAGGAAAACATTTTGTTAACTCTAAAAATTACAATCTATGGAGCAAGAGAGGCAAAGAATCCAATAGCTTACCTTAGAAATTCTAGAAAATGCAATAATATACAAGCACATATTCCTTTAGTCATCAGAGCGATGACATCATCGTACATCCGGTCACCTCTGGAAAATTCCAGAGAGTGAAAAAGGCAAATGACGTCTCGCTGTTACGAAACTATTGATAGTGCTGCCACAGGACCTGCCCGGTGCCCTAGACCGCACTTGAGAAGCGCCGCTCTGATCCTCCCTTCCCCTAAGGCCAGGTCTCCTGACGGGCCTAAAGGATAGCAACAGGTCACCACGCAGGGGCCACAGGGGGCATTCCCATTCTCCTCTTGCGAAGGTTACCAGGTGACTCCAGGATCAGAATCCCGCGAAGGTGCCGCTAGGGGGCGCCGCAAGCGAGCCTCACCGCGCGCCTGCCCC